AGTAGTTTAAAGCAGTGGAACACTTCTACAAGTACCTCTATGGAAGAAAGTTCTTGTTAAGAACAGATCATGCTGCTTTGAAATGGATGTTGCAGTTTAAGAATCCTGAAGGGCAGGTTAGGCTAGATGGATTGAACGAATACAAGAATTTGACTTCGAAACAGAACATCGAGCTGGGACAATCCACCGAAATGCCGACGCACTCTCCAGAAGACCTTGCGCTAAGGACTGTAAGCATTGGTCCCGAGCAGAAGAGAAAAAAGCGAAACTCCGAAGAACAACTGTGGTTAACGATACTTGGCAACCCCAAGATCTTGCAAACGACCAAATCAGTGACCCAGAATTAGATTTAATGATTAACTGGAAAAACGCAAACCAAAGACCAACGTGGGAAAAAGTTTGCAGATATTCGCCGAAAGTGAAGTCGTACTGGGCCCAGTGGAATCCCTTGGTAATAGCAGAGGAATATACGCCACGCTTCTTGTGATTGAACCGGAGGCCAGCCAGGGACTCAAGAGACGAGAAAGCAGATCGTCTTCCAAAGACGAAAGGTCCCGGAGGCTTGAGGGAAGATTCACAGTGGGAACCAGCTGGTGTACATCTTTGGTCTTACAAGACACTTGGCGAAAGCCCTGCGAGAACGGTTCTAATTGACTGAACTGCAAGAAGACGTGAGGGCTTGGTGCAAGAAATCTGACGTTTGCGCCGCCATCAAAAGCGCGGTAAAGCCCCAATGCGCCAGTACAATATAGGCAGTCCTTCGATCACGCATAGCGATCGACGTGGTTGGTCCTTTCCCGGAGACTAACGATGGCAACAAATACTTTGTGGTAGTAATGGATTCCTTCAGCAAATGGGTCGAAGCCTACGCGTTGCCAAATCAAGAAGCGTCCACCATTGTTGATGCTCTTGTTAAGGAATGTATCTGCAGGTTTGGTGTTCCCATGAAGCTTCATGTCAGTCAGGGAAGAAATTGGTACCATCTGTTCCAAGGCGCCTGTGAAGTCCTTAACATCCGCAAAACCAGGACGACTGCTCTACATCCACAATCCGTTGGGATGGTTGAACGCATTAACAGAACTATCAACCGTTACCTGGCCAAAGTAGTCTCTGACCATCAAAGATACTGGGACAAATTTCTTCACCTGTTCCTGTTCGCCTACCGTTCATCCATCCAAGAATCCACAGGGGCGCCATTGTACTTCCTAGCCAGGTACCAGTCGTCATAATGTGGGGGCCCGGTGCCGCGTGGTCCCTCTACTCTCTGCTGACCCCTGCCAGTATTGAGATTGAGCCCGGCACCGTTCTCTGGTCGTAGCAGTTAACAGATGTCTGCCGGTGCTGAGAAGGAGTTATGTCCACTTAGACCTACGGCCAAAGGTGGACGACATCCATTCCAGCGAGGTCCGACGCTTTAAATATTCTCATAAGCGCCCTAGCGTGAACCGAATTGCGGAAGTGCGCACTTAGACATTCCCCAAGCGTCTGACATGTGAGCCAGGTGCTCACACGCCAGTGGAATTTGGTCGTGTTCCTGGTAAATCCCTCCCATGAAGAATACTGTCCTGGTACCCCGATTGTATCTCCGAGTATGGCCAACACATACCTCGTCGCACGCCCCATTTTAGAAGTCAATGGATAGGATTAATAACGTCGTATACCGTATCAGGAAATTGCCAAAAACCGCGGTGAAACCGCAAGACGATAGCTATTTCAACAGTGTTTTGAGCCCCTACAAGGCGAAATAGAAGATCGAGCTGGGACCGTGAGAACCTGCAGCTTTGAACCCCCTGATTCGGAGATGACCTTTGACGATTTCATGGCCCGATACAACAGCTGTGAGAAGGCTCGCTATGGTATAACCAGAGAAGATAAACGAGACCTCTTTTCCTTTTGCCTCCTGATTATTTTTCGCTCGCTTCACTGTGTTGCCCGAGATTTGCGGATGTCTAGTGGAATCGCTGCGACGTTCTATGAGAAGTTTGGGCGTGGCGGAGAACTACGCCGACAGAATCCAGAGGTTGGAAGCGACTTGAGGCTAACCGACAATGAGCACATGGGTCAAAGCAAGACCACCGATATATTAATATAAATCTAATGGGTGTTCTAAAGGGTGTAATAGGTAGGTGTTATATCCCTCCTAATGAATATTCTCTCGCAGAGTCCACTACAGGCCTTAGGATAGTTGTACGTGTTTTGAATTGTTATATCTTTATCTATAAATTATTCTTTAAATTGGAAGTTCACATCATGTTATGTTGTATCAATACGAGGATGGTCTAGGTACAGCGAACTCAACTTAAGGGGAATTAGTTAGTCTTGGTCAACTAATCATATATACACATACCTTTTCTGATACCTGTAAATTACGTCAGCCAACTATCGACGCTCGGTGGACATCGTGCTTGTGGACTGTCTTGAGGAACTCTGTGGTTGTAGAATTAATAGGGCGGTTAAATTTTGTGAACGCTTAGCGTATGACTAATACTTCGCAACAGGGGATTATACCTCATTCTAGACTCGGCCTGCCTGGTTTTGTGATAAGTTATTTCGCATAACATCTACAATATAATTAAGGTTGAATCATCTTTGGAACGTGAACGGAATTTTATTGTATTCAACACATTCATTTTTGGCTCTCGGTGAATCTGTATGTTCATTGATTGATAATTATTACCATACCCAATCACCTAGGCCTATATTAGGATGATGCCGATCGTTCAATACTGAGAAATATTTCAGGTTGTAATTATGAACCGTTAATTAATCCAATGAAACCTTTTTATTGTATCCGTACGGATTCAATTCGATTTGTGTCGGGTTAATATTCGGAGAAAATGCTGTGATTGTGTGTCTGTAACCAAGGTTAGGGCTTACTTCTCTTTCGCTACGCATTATGTAGAAAAATTGAGAACCTGCATAATGAAGTATTCAAGATAGTGCTCTCTGGTGAGACGGCATAAGCCTGAGGATCTAGTATTAGGTACGTAACCATTTAGCTCCCTAATTCTAAAAATTGACAGGGTATTAGCATGCCGGACGACCTCAAATCCGATATCTCCGAGAAGACTGCCGTCTCTCGGCTCGACGATGGCGGGAAGCTGACAGTTTTTCCTTCTCGAGGACATGAAGAAGGTTTTGTGTCTCGAGTGCCAGTTCTCACTTAGTCTGTGGACATATACATGGTAGATAATATAGTAAGAGAAGGCAGATACAAAAGGTCTGTGTTTGAAGTGTACGAAAGGCTTAATAAAGTGGTTAACAAAAGAAAAGGATATACGGGATCCAGTGCCGAGGAGAATAGAGACACGTAATCCTTCACGTTGGCTCGGTGATCGATATAATTCTAGTATCACGATTTAGATCTGAAAAGAGATGGTAATAAATCTGGCAAGTTCAGTTACTGGTGCAGAAAGAAAGAGATAATGGGACGAGGACAGCGGGTCGTCGAGGTGCTGGACATACACGGACATAGTGGTCTTATCGGTATGCTTTGGATTGTGCAATTCGCGCGCATACCTTATGTCAAAGGCTAGATTTTCGTGGGATCATGTTGTTAAAGGGACCATTCTAGGGTGTGGAGTGTACTGGATACCATTTGTGTGGGTGGGATCCTTTGTCTGATCATAATGGAGATCTGGAAGCATGTCTTCTCACGATCGCGGTGGACCGTATACCTCAGAACGGAGAAAAATGACATGTCATGGATATTTTGGGCATTTGGCCTATATGGCGGCTGCTTATGCAATCAGGGTGTCCCTTACAACTCTCAACATACTAGACCATAAAACAAAATAAATATAAGAACGTAGACTAGTAGCAACTACCCAATACAACACCACAAAAAGGTCAAGGACCTCCTAGGGCAGCATTATCGGTAGGAATCATAAGATGGGCGAAAAGAAAGGGAAATATTTCATAATTGAATAAGTGTCAGATCTGATAACGGAAGGCTCTAGTTTCGCAGGTACACTGTCGTAATGATCGCTGGAAATTGTGAGACGGGATACATTGAATATAACGGGATACTTGGATAAACGCAAAGGAAACACATAATAGGCAAATAGTGTTAAAATTTTATAATAATAACACTCGACTAGCACATGATTAGGAGTATTGCTGTCCATAGATCTCGGCAAGATCACAGGAATATGAGTCAATAGTAACTCGTCAAATTGAGCTATAGTAAGATAGCGTATAGTCAGAATATAACGGATGAAAAGAGAATTTAACTGTGTAAACACGAACTCAGGATATCCTTTGTAGGGATGCTCGCTCTAAGTAAAAGCAGATGTGTATACAAAACACATATATTACAAAGTTTCATCCTCTATAATAGGTGAAGATAAATAATTGTGGTCATGGGCGGAAAAGATATAAAGATCCAAGGTGACTATGGTAGTGCAAATAGTTGTGTGGTGTAGCAGGTGGAAGAATCAGAGATAAGGGTCAGAGTGCGCGGAGGGAGGGAACGAGGACAAGAGGTGGAGGGCGACAAGAACATGCGAGCGGGCGGCGAGCCAGCAAAATGGCGACGCAGTGCCAGAGACGTGGCGGAATGACGGGTAGCAGTTGGGCCCCGAGCAGAGAGAAAGAGCGAAACGCCGAAGAACAACGGGGGGTGACGAGACTGGGGGCAACGAAGAGGGCAACGACCAAGCAGGGACCAGAATGGAGGCGTGAGGGAGGTAATCGGGGAAAACGCGGACAAAGGCCACGGGGGAGGAAGGAGGGCAGGATGATGCGCCGACGGGAAGGCGTGCTGGGGGCCCGTGGGCGGGCCGGGGTGAGAGGAGGAGGGACGCCGCCGGGGATGGAGAGGCCAGAGCGGACAAGAGAGAGAAAGCAGAGCGTGTCAGGTCCAAAGGAGGGGCCGGAGGGCGGGGAGGAAGTGGCACAGGTGGACAGCGGGGGAAGGGTGTAACCAAGACACGTGGGAAGCGGCGAGACGGGGCGATGGTGGCGGAACTGGCAAAGGAAGAGGGATGGCGGGGGGAAGAATGGGGCGGGGGGCGGGCGATCAATTGGCACAAGGCGGGAATGCGCCAGGCGCCCGAGTGAAAGTAGAGGCAGGCCGGCGACGAATAGCGAGTCGAGGGGGCGGGGCCTGGGCCCGGGACGGACGAGGGCAACAAAGACGGGGGGGCGGATACAGGGGTGACGGCAGCAAAGGGGGCGGGCTAGCGGTGCCAAAGACAGGAGGGCCACCAGGGCCGAGGCCGTGGGAAAGAAGGGAAGCGCAGGGTGGGGGGTCCAGGGAGCGTGGCAGGAGAGACAGGGAAGAAACGGGGGAGGCCAAGCGGGCCAAGGGCGGCGGGGAAGGCGTAACTGCGCCAAGACCAGGACGGATGGCGGTACGACAAGCGAGGTGGAGGGGGGAAGCCAGGAAAACCGACGATGCAACGAGGAGCGGCAAGGAGTGCGGTGGATGCAAAGACGGGACAGGGCGTGCACGGTGGCGGGGTGCGGACCGGGCAGCGGGCCAAGAATCGACGGGGAACGCCAGCCAGCAGCGTGGGAGTGGACGGGAAGGGGGCCAGTACGGGGACCGTGATAGGGGGGGGGCGACGGAGAGGGCGCGAGGAGTGGAGGGCCAGTAGTGACGACGCCAAAGAGAGAGAGGAACGAGCCCGCGCGCGGCCGCCGAAGAGATGGCAAAGCGCTGAGTGGACCGAGTGAAGGGACACTCGACAGGCAAGTGGGATCGGAAGGGGAGGGGGCAACCAGGGATGGGGGGGGCGGGACACCGCAGAGACGGCGGTGGTAGCGCGAAGCCAAGCGCGGGGAAGGCCCGCGAGGCGTGAGAGGAGGAAGGACGGCGTGGCGCGCGCGCGCAGTGGACAAAAGGAAAACCGAGGGAGGGGCAGGGGCAACGTGGGGAGCCGGACCAAGAGCGAAAGGAGAGCGGGGGACCGGGAGAAACCGAGCAGCGGGGAGTGCCCCGGAGGTCTGACGGGGCGGGGAGGAGGTCAGTGTCCCGAGAGAACGCAGGGAGAGGCGGCGGAGTGGGAACCAAAGAGAACCACGGACCGCGGGTGCCGTGGGCCGGAGGGGGCGCGCTCACGCGGGAGTGGCCTAGAGGGGCGGAAGGCCAGAGAAGCGCGCGAGCGGTGGCGGAGGAAGGGGGGCGGGGGCGGAGAGGACGCGACAATAGCAGGAGGGGGGAAGGGGCGGGAGGCGAACCGACAGGCACATGGGGCAAGGCAAGACACAGCGGCGACCGGGGCGCCAAGGAGGGGCCCGAGGCAGCGGAGGAGCGCAAGCGATGGGAGACCCGGAGGGAACGGAGAGAAGGCCGGGGAACAGAACAGGACGAGGAGCCAGGCCAAGCGGGCGGCGGGGAGGGGGGGGGAGGGGGCGGCACAAGCCGGAAGAGGGAGGCGGGGGAGAGGGACGGGGAAGCGAGATGCTCCGGGGCGGCGAGAACCCCAGAGCGGGATGGGGCGA